GCGGCAATCACAGCAGGACGTCCGCGTAATATGCGTGTCCGCCTGTGCGTGGATTAGATGTACCTGAATATTCTACACGATATAAAGCGGATAGGAGGTAAATAGATATTGGAATTGCGACGATTTGTGAGAAAACTTATTGCTATTTTCGAGTTATCAGTGATATTTATGGGAAAATGATGAGGAAATATCAACCCCTGCAATTTTTCACTGCAATCGCAGGGGAAAAAGTAGTCGATTTTCTACTACGACATCGAACAATTTGATAGATTTTATATGATTCATCCCGTTATTATTTAAGTTGATTGGAATCAATATGTTTTTTGACGTATACGCATTTCTATAGTATTATTGAAGAGAAATCCGTGGGAAGCGATGAAAACTATTGAAAATTCATGATTTTTTTCTATTGGAAAGGGATGGGAATTTCCATCGAAACTTGAAAGCGAAAGATTTTCCATAGAAACCCGTACGGAAAACGGAATATATGTGAAATATATGTCAATTATACGCACATATATTTCGGCGAAAAATGCAATATCACATATATGTCACGTACAATTGATTGCATATATTTTTTTCCGTGAGGGAATCTATCGGAACTTCTATTAAAAGTCCTTGAAAAATTCGGCGAAATCCATGAAAACTTCAGTTCAGTATCATCATCGTCATATATCCGATTTCTCTTTCAGATATTGAGGAATAAACGTGTGACATCCCCTGTTTATATAAGCTTCATCCCCAATTTTTAGCGGTTCGCGATTGTGAAGCGCAATGCTACACAAAATATAGTAATGGAGTGATTGACGTTTTTTGCTTTCCACTAATTAATAACTATAGATGCGCGGACGATTCTAAAATTCAACACATTCAAGACTATTCATCTGAATAATTAAAGTTCAATGATAAATTCAAAATTTTGGTGGAAGTATAATGTGACAGTAAATTTTCAAGAATTATACCCGAAATTTAAATAAGAAACTACGACATTTGAACTAAAATTTTCAACAACAACGTATCAACTAGTTTTTGTGAAATTACTATATTTTTAAGAGTTAGCCGAAATTTTTTTTTCCGTTTCTTTATTCTTTGCTTTTCAACAGTGTAATCCAACTCAATTTAACCACTCAACTAATACATTAGTGATTAATGTCATACAAAGATTCAATTTGTTTTTATATTAACAACTAGGGGGCGTCGCCCCCTGTTCGCTTCGCTCGCCAATCCGGGGGTGGCTTCGCCCCCCCCCCTGCCGCTCGCTTCGCTCGCTCCCCTCCTCCAACCGTGTGACCGCAGCGGTGTGACCGTACCTATAAATATCTTCCATATGAGCAGCCCCTCATATAGACATCCCTTATAAATACAGGTACCTCCCCATATAGGAACCCCCGTATAGGCGTCCCCTGAATTTTTTACCTTATTTTTTTATTTATATAAAGAGATTACAAGAGATCAATAATTTAGTATTAACAATTGTTTTTTTAAAGGATTTTAAATGCTTTAATATTTTGTTTGAATTGTTGACATTTTGAGAGATTCAGGGAATCCTGTTTCTTCAACCAGGCGACATTTTAATTAATGACAATAATTAATACTAATTTCATCCTTTTGGCGTGTATTTAAATCTGAGGAGTTGAAATGTCGTTAGTTGCAATGTCGTAGTTGAAATGTCGCCTAGTTGAAAAGACATGGATTCAAATTTTCAACAGCGAACCTTGAGTAATACTGAATCAACATTACCCGAGCCCTCGCGGCATTCGCCCATCGGAATAAAAAATTACACGTAAAAACAAGAAAGTAGTGATAAAAGTAAAAGAGTGGAGAGTGCCTTCTTCGTGACTCGACCTTGAATTACTTTCCGTCCGTACAGAGACTACATAACCGTTGCACCACTGTACACTCAGCATTGCACGCTATACCCTTCCGCCATTTTGACAATTCAATTCTGCTCCAAGTACTTCCTTTCTCGATCTCCAGCAAATTGTTGTACATGACGCGGTCTTGTTTGTTGATTTTTCTCTCATTTTATGCATTTCGTATGAAATCAATCTTCCATTTTCCGTTTTGCTCGTCTGATGAACCCTTTATGAATGGATTTTTCATTGAATGTGACGAGCATGAGGCGCACTTGAGGGGTATTATATGCCTTGGTAAACACAGTCATTATAATTCAATTTAATAATAATTTGTGTGTGTACCGGCGTGTGGTGTTCATTTGATGGGAGAACGCATCCGTCACGTCGAGAGGCTGCTTTATACCCTGACGTGATAAGAATACCTCAGTTATTCACTAAATAACTCGGCGAATCATGCGGAGACAAAAAGTTTGTAGTTTTCTGTGGAATTCCTGGAAAATATGTCAAATTTCCACTCATTCGAAGAAAAAGCTGGCATTTTTGAGTAACTTAATTTTTTCATTCAAAACATTCTTTGTCTTCAAAACATTCAAAACATTCTTTGTTTCTTTGTCCTTTCGACAATAATTTAATGTTCAATAATGCTTTTCCAAATCAAAATTCAAATCAGTAGCGAAGCGGCAAAGAGTGATGAGTCGGTTTTTCTACGAAAATGAGTTATTGATGGAAAACGATTCTATATATTGTACACGGAGAGAAATTTTCTAGAAAAATTCTAGTACGGTACTAGCAAAAATCACAATCCACCGGCTGTGAAAAATTCTGGTGCTGTTGAGGTAAAATTTCTTGGTATTTCTGGTAAAATTTCTGGGGATTTCTGTGAAATTTTTACAGAAATACGAGGAAAAATTCACGTTTTCCCCAATAAAATTTCCAGTGCCGGCACTGGAATTTTTTCCTGGCCGTCACTTTGCGCTTCTTTTCCCGTGCTAGCACTAGAATTTTTCTAAAAAATTTCTCTCCGTGTATTATTATCTTATATGAGAATTTATAGGCAATATATATGCAACATTGTCATGCTTTTTTTAAAAATTGTTTGAATATTTAATTTATACGTTTGAGCGATGATTTCCTGCTCATTACTATCGTAGCCCAACCTGAAAAACCTATTATCTGAAATAAAATTGTTCTATCGGAGGGGGTGGAGGTTCAGGCTACACTGAGAAGACAAGAGTTTTTTGAGAAGTACATCTTTACTTGTATCAAGAAATTCATGACTTGAGGGCAATTGGTTCATATCGGGAAAACGAGTTGTCAGTTCAATTCAAGTGGTTTTTGCACTAAAATGTTTTAGAGTTGACGAAAAAAACTATTAAATGAATTAACTCAATTGTATTTGCTTTGAGAAATGGCTGTCTTGTGATCAAGGAATTGTCCTTTAGAACACATTCAAAATTTCTTGGCGAAAGTTTTTTTTTCTTAATGCAAGATATTTTGCTCTTGAAAATTTCCAAGCCACAACTCGTTTTTCTCAGTGTTTTTTTTACGATAACCTGGCATCTAATGAACTATAAATCAGAAATCAGTTGTAGAGAATTCAGACCGGAACCTGCAACCGCTCTCACTCTTTACCGCTTCGGTACTGCAATAAAAATCAAGTTCAAGTTTAAATATAGAAGCTTTTTACTTTGAAGACAATGTACGTTAGAACCCGAATGTAGCTGTCCAAAATCACTTAAATTCTTCGGAAAACAGCAAACTTTTCCCTCTGCACATCCCAAATCACCAGTTTGCAATTTCAAAATATTTCATTCTACTCTCGCATTCAGTTTGAATAAATCGTCGAGTGAATGTGGTCCTGGCAATAGTCTTTGCCACTGTTCGTTGTGAGCGTACGTCTTATCGGCACTCGTAAATCTCATGATCGACGACGATATCGTGGAGTTGTCTGCCTACACGTTCACGACGGATCTCTCACCAGGGTGGCGTAAGAAATTCTTCTTTATCTCTTTTTCTCTTTATACTTTGTGATTTATTGGTACACTCGAATTATGCCAGCGAGTCAGAATGGCTTTCACTCAACAAACTGCTAACGTAATGTTGAGGGGAGTCATTTTTCCCGTTTTATTCCTACTAGTTTCACTTTTGGAATTCCCTTGAACATTTAGATAGATCTGGGTTTGAATTGACTGCAGTAAGTTCAAGTAAATTGTGGAATTTTCAATTTTCTTTTCCAGCAGCATAACGACCCAATCCTATTGAAGATTGAACGACGCAATAAACAATATTGTCCAGTCCCAAGCTCATTCATTCACGCCCCATAAAGGATGCATTGAGAAATTATTGTCTGATTGAATTAACTCCGAGTGCCATGCGAGATGAACGAGTAATATCCATGTAGATAGAATGCAAGCATAAACCAGGACGGTGAATACAGAAGAAAACTAGAGTGTCGAATGACTTCCTAGAGGCGCGCCTGTCACGACGCCTTAGGGTCATTGGTCACATACTTCTTATCTGCGAGTGTCCTCAGGCCATCTTGAGGAGCTAACAGAGCCACCTTTCCTCCTCCTCCGAGTTTTGTCTTGCTGTTACCACAGCCAGCATTAGGACTCACCATTCGAGGGCAGATATATGTCCCGATGAATTCAACGTTCAGCCACCCACACACATTTTTTTTTCCCCTCTTCCTTGTAAGGTTTGAAATGTTTTTCTCCCTCTCTGGCGACAGTAAGTCTCCCGGAAAATCAGATTCACGTGTTAGTAGTATGCGTGATGCGTGCGAAAAGGGAATAGAACGGAAAACTAGTTGGTGAACATGGACGGTATTGACCCTCAAGGCAATTAAATTTCGCTGAGTTTCAACTTGAACAAAGTTTAACACGCACTGCCGCAAGCCAACATGAGAGTCGTGGTTGAATGGTCTTTATAGAGAGCGCGAAAGAGTACGTGAGGGGACTAGTTACTGGGCGTTTGTATTATAAAAATCATCGAAACCGGTCCCTAATTGCTACCCCGAACTCTACCACCAGTCAGTATACGCAAGTGTTGATCCCGATTTCTCTCGCTCACCATCATTATTAGTTAGTTTGAATGATGAAAGTAAGTGTGATGATTGAACAAATTGTCCATTATTTTTTACAGATGGGGACTCGAGGAACGCGACGCTCAGTGCAGCAAAAACGGAAGAATGTGGAGATTTTCGTAGTGAAAAACTAGGGAGTGAACATATGCTGGGATGGCAGCAACCGATGGTCAAATAGTGGTAGCAGCGGCGAGATGGGCGGAGGAGGCAACATACTTGCGTGAATTTGTGACAAAGTATCGTTTGCCAGCAGTTATCAAAATCACAAAGGGCCAGTATGGTGGCTTTGGTGTACCAACACTGCCAGCACCAAGTCTCCAGAGTACAGCGCTGTTGGTATCAGCTGGTAGGAGACGTAAAATTGTTGCCCAAGCGGTGAAAATAAAAGAGGGAAGACGAGTCGTTGGAATCGGACCGAGACTTGCCATACCAGACTCATACTCAGGCTACTTTGAAATACTCAGTGAAGAGGGTAGAGCTGTCCGGGGTATTGAGTCTGTTAATGAGCTGTCAAGAAGATGTCCAGATGAGGGTGCATTAGTCAGAGAAACAATTCGTGGTATTGCCTGTAAAGTTGAGGATTCGGGTAATGTTGTTGCTGAAGGCAGTAGGACATTAACAGCTGGTGAGACTATTGTTGCTGCTGGTGAAGTGAGCCTAGCGAGTCGTGGTAGATTTTTACGTTGTGTTGACAGTCGTGGTGACAATATTTTACTTAGTATGGATCAACGTGGACGTTTCAGTGCACTAGCTAGAGAGGATAACATAAGCGGTGTTCATACGGCTCGTGCATTGCTTTGTAAACGACTGCCTCTTACTGTACGGTTAGTCCATGGTCAGCCACCTCGAGGTCTCAAGTCATCCTCACAATTTCTACCCGAGTTGAGGTTACTCTCGACGTTTGAGGAGGAGCACGTGTTTGCCCTACCATTGCAGAGGGAAGGTGTGGCTGTTGCATTGCCCCTTGCAGCACCACTCAAGCTTGTCAAAGCGAGAAACGAGGATGCATTGAGGTCGATGACGGAATTCACTAGATTGGTTGATAGAGCCTCAAGACTGGTCGCTGACGTTGCCGATAGGGCGCATGTACTTGACGGTAGACTCGGTGAGAGCAAACAAAATAGACAAACTAGTAGGAGTGCTGGATTTCTCAGGAGATCAGCCAGTTCGGACAGTGCTAATCATCATCGTCATTATTATCATAATCATTATCATCATAATCATCACAGTAGCCACAGTTATCGGGATGAGAACCGTGTGCCACCTTCTTATACTGAGGACTACGATGAGATTGATCAAATTTATGACTATGTTAGAGGCTTTGCACCACTTCCAAAAAGCGTCAGGTCACCCTACGAAAGTCCGGTGAACAACAATTCCAATCAGATAAACTCGAGTCCTCCACTGACTCCTGTTACAGTGACAATCGCCCCGCTTCTTGATGATCGACCGGAGCCACCGCCGATCGAGACAATACCAACGAAAAAATTGCAAGCCGAGAAGAGGACCCGTAGAGCTGTCAAGGAAACACCGATGCCCAAAGTTGAGAAGCCTCCATTGGCCAAGCTCTACGTTAAGAACAGTGGTACACAGCGTGGTCGTCCACTCATAAGGCAAAAGAGTGCATCACCCCTCAAGGAAACACCGCCGGGCTTCAAAGGTGGTTCACCGCTCTTCAATATACGCTATAAGAGTCTCACCAATCTTCAACAGGCTATGGAACTCGATGGTACACTTGATTCCAGTCATTCTGGTGGGAGAACCTCCGGCGATTCTGGGGCAGGCGCTAAGCTTCCCGAAAAAAGGTAGGGTGTATAACCGGGGATTGTATCGAAAATATTAAAGTATATGTAGAAATCAGCCTTAAACCGGGTCAAGTCGATTTTGACTTTTGGCCAATTTTTGATGAATATCTCGGAATCTAAGGGAGATGGCAAAATTTTTCTCATGACCTTTTTTATGACCCTCAATTGGCTCTACAAAAAAGGTCATGACAATAATTTGCTCTCTGGGTCTCCTTCGGGTTAAGGTCGGGGGAGCAAATGTACGGGGAATTTTTGGTGACCAACGGTGGCGGGACATATTTAGGGGAAAATATCGTGTGGTGGTGGTGGGGGGGGGNGTGTGGTGGTGGGGGGGAGGGGGATACGATAAAAGCACTTTGACCCTTTTTGTTAATGAAGATTTATCAAAAATTCTACCAATTCTACCAAGTCATATTCTCTTCTCTTTTGGTGGAAACAGATCACGAAGGCTCAGTAGACCAAGATCCCTGACAAATCTCGTATGGGACTTGCGCGGTGGTAATGGAGCAGTAAGACCCGAAACTCCACCGCCAGTTGCAGCATCACCCCTAGCACCAACCAAGTGTGGACAGCGATTGGCAGTGACAGTTATAGCTCCACGACGCGTTGGCACGCTCTACCTCTAACTCGTGAGTATACATTTCATCCTGCAACAATTTATTATCCACTTACAACCTTGTCCCCCCTATCTTTCCGTTTAATTGCGATTCTTATCAGTCATTTTTCCATTGTCACCTTCGACATATACCCAGCAATGATTAAAGTTAAGTTATGTGCTTATTCGGTTTACAGAGTATTATAAAGACTTTATAGTGGGCACTTCCTCATTGCAACCGGTTACCCTGATTTGTTTGGTTCTTCTGTATGTTCCTATTTCGTGCATCATTCCCTGATTTTATCGCTGAGTGGTGTCATCTTAATTCATTCTGGGATGATTCTTTTTTTAATGACATCACCAGAATTTCAGTCAGGAGGATGGCCTAACGAAACCAGTTCCCTCGTTTGGCCGATCCCCTTTTTATGCGAGAATTATCGGCATTTTGTTTTAATTAGCTCTTCGTGCACGGTTTTTCACTTGTTTTACAGCACGCAACCGATTCCAAAGGTCCTTCAACTGGATGACAGTGTAGATGGTGTCTAGATGTCTTTCTCATTTTCTTATTCACTGAAGTCGTCATGCATGTAATTGCCGAAGCTTTTCAATATTATTCTCCGTGTCATACTTTTGGAAACATAAAATTTCATAGACAGTTGCCTACACTGAGAGAAAAACAAACACGTTGTCAAACAAGTCTTGTTCGGGCCAACAAAGTCGCTAGTTGAAAATTACCAAAAAAGTCTTGGAAGTCTCAAGCATGAATAATTGTTCTGCTTTCGACAGCAACGAAATATTTGGCTCAACAGGCGGATAATTCACACCAGACGGTGCCCTTTCAGGATGAAAATATCTCATATAGAGGAAAATTTATCAACAAATACTTTATCCTCAAGTTACAAGATTGCTATCATATCATTATTGTTGTTTCATTTAAGGGTTCATTTGTTGTCTGTGATTATTAGACAGCCGAAACGAAAAACTGCAATCCCTTGTTTCGCATAAAACAAAGATTTTTCGGGAGCAAAATACGTATGGCAGTATCGAATAACGAAGGAATAGTGGAATGAAGGAGTACTAAATAGTATTTTTCCGGCCTGTTGCGATGGGGTTTTTTACTCGTGTGGCGTTGGCCTCCGAGCCGTAGGCGAGGACTGGCCAACCACACGAGAAAAAAAACCCCATCGCAACAGCCCAGGAACAATATTTTTCTGTAGTGATTTTCAAGTTTTCGAGTTTGGGAAGTATGTAATACCAATTCCCAGACGAGAAATCGTGAGAAGCAGTACAGAAAAATGACATTTCTTGCGTGTACAGAGAATGCAATTTTTTTTGAACTACTAAATCTGTTTCTACGACAAAAATTTTTCAATCCAGCGCACTCTCTGCATGTTTGGCCGAAAAAAATCCTTTTTTGATAGTTTTCAAAAAACTATTCTCTTGGCACAAGTAAGACTTGTTGGAGAACTTTGTCGTCTTTCTCTCAGTGTAGTAATTCTTGGAAGAGTAACATTGAATTGAACTCTTCAAGACGAGAGTTCCCCAAATTATGTTGAATTTTCGGGATTTCATTCATTTAAAATTGACAGTTTGTATTGATTTTTCCGTAAAGCAGTAACTGCAATGGGTATCGGAAAGTTTAGCCAAATATTTAGCGCATGGTTCTCGGTGTAAGAGTGATTGATAACGGGCAGTCATCCTCGAGAGCCACAGCTGCCATGAACACTCCTGCCTGCTGGTGATAGTTGTGGGGTAATCTACCGCAGCCAATCGTACATGTCGCAACAATTCCCCTTGTAATTAATCGCTTTCCTTCCTCGCTCTATCTCGCATATTTGTTGTATTACGGAGCTCCTGCAATGCGCTTGTTCCCTGTAGAACGAGCGAGGGAGAAGAGACACTCTTTCGATTTCACGAGTCACTCTGTAGGCACTTCTCGCCTATTGTCCGCCTACGGATGACTCTACTGACTCACTCCTTGACGATTCTTTTCACCCATTTAATCACGAGGGCACAAACGTGAAAGCTGGGACAAGTCTGGGCAGCAATAAGGGGGAACAAAAAATTCAGAGGGATGTCTACACCCGCCAATGCGCCCACGGTTCTATCTCATTTTTCGCTTATTTATTTTGTCCTTTGACTTTTTCTTCGCTGCAATGGCGTAGGTGTAGGAGTCATCGGGAGACCACTTTAATATTCATAGTATCACTTCCTCAATGGCCTCAGCTGAATGAAAATCTCTTTTTCCTCGTTCCTCTCACTGTAATTACAATGAAATTAGCTGGGACGAGTGGCAGAACTATCAGAAATGAAAAGTAATAAAAATCAGGAAAATTCAGGTAAATGTAATTTGGAGAAATGTTGTGCTTTTATTGCTCAAAATTTTGTCCATGCCATTGCAATTTTCTTCTAATAGTGGTTATTGGAACGAGATTCTTTTTACTTTTATTCAGACCTATTCTATGAAGCCAATTTTTTGTTTTGGAACGAAAGAGTTCGCGATAAAAAAATAATTGAACATTTGATGCTGGAAAAAGAAGAATCGGTCAGGAAAAATCTTGAAATATCTGAGGAAAAATATGAAGCGATGACTTTAATATTCATAGTATCACTTCCTCAATGGCCTCAGTTGAATGAAAATCTCTTTTTCCTCGTTCCTCTCACTGTAATTACAATGAAATTAGCTGGAACGAGTGGCAGAACTATTAGAAATGAAAATTAATAAAAATCAGGAAAATTCTGGTAAATGTAATTTGGAGAAATGTTGTGCTTTTATTGCTCAAAAATACAAAATTTCGGTGAAAGTCGAAATTTCATATTTTTTTCCGTTTTGTCCATGACATTGCAATTTTCTTCCAACCGTGTTTATTGGAACGAGATTCTTTTTACATTTATTCAGACCTATTCTATGAAGCCAATTTTTTGTTTTGCAACGAAAGAGTTCGCGATAAAAAAATAATTGAACATTTGATGCTGGAAAAAGAAGAATCGGTCAGGAAAAATCTTAAAATATCTGAGGAAAAATATGAAGCGATGACTTTAATATTCATAATATCACTTCCTCAATGGCCTCAGCTGAATGAAAATCTCTTTTTCCTCGTTCCTCTCACTGTAATTACAATGAAATTAGCTGGAACGATTGACAGAACTGTCAGACATGAAAATAGAAATGAGGAAAATTGAGATAAAATAATGTGGAGAATTGTTGTCTTTTTATTGCTCAAAAATACAAAATTTCAGTGAAAGTCGAAATTTTATATGGCCTTCCCCTTTGTCCATGCCATTGCAATTTTCTTCCAATAATGTTTATTGGAACGAGATTCTTTTATATTTATACAGACCTATTCTATGAAGCCAATTTTTTGTTTTGGAACGAAAGAATTAGCGATAAAAAAATAACTGAACATTTCGATCACTTTTATATTCATAATATCACTTCCTCAATGGCCTCAGCTGAATGAAAACCCCTTTTTTCTTGTTTCTCTGACTGTAATTACAATGAAATTAGCAGCAACGATTTGCAGAACTGCCGTAAACATAACAAATACCATGAAGACGGCGATAGAAATGGCACGTGATGGTGTATCAAGACCAAGTACTATGCAGAAGTAGTAATAATGAAGTGGTAGTGGTTACACGTTACGCTCCAACAGACCGATCAAACGGTCTGTGCAGCTAAAGCCCAGCTACTGGTATCCGCCTACGCACAAATGCACGGATCATATACCAATCGATATAGTGATCGAGTGCTCTTGGCACAGGAACTCGCTCACTATATCATAGTTGAGATATTTAAACAAAAATTTGAGGCTAAATTCGTTAAATTAAATTGCTCGTTGGTTTACTCATCGGGCTCACAGGTTTGGGTAATCATTTCTCATGTTTTATGGTCCATGTATACGTCTGAGCAATTATAATTTACAAGCCGCTTCGCGAGTTGTACGAAGATCCATGTGGGTACTCTCTGGGCCCTTCTCTGTATCGATCTCTATCTGTGTAAAATGCTATTATACACGTGTGGCCGGAGGGCGTGGGTGTGTGCGTCGATAGAAACTGCATTAGTCGAGATGTTAACGCGGTGGAGGAGACGAATCGGGGGATGTCTGGGGGATGAAATATTTCAGGAGGGATTTATTTACTGGGAACTGTTGCCGCTCGGTACACTGGTAGAAAAAAATTAAATTTCATGGACAGTTGGCTATCTATTTTCAGGACAGTGACACTGAATACGATTCAGGGGAAAAAATTATGAAATTTCAGGTTTCACTGAAAATTCAGTAAAATTCCGGAATTTTAAGGGGCATCTTGACGAGAATTGCTTAATTTACTTGAATTTCCAAACTAACATGAGTATTCAGTATTAAATTGCGTTGAATTTTCAGTGAAATCTAAAATTTCATGATTTTTTCCCCTCTAAATCGCATGCAATGTCGCTATCCTGAAAATTCAAAAATTTTTTTTTTATTTAAGCATTTTGCAATTATTTTTCTGCAAAACTTGGCACGATGGTTTGTTTGCAGGGGAACTTGAGGGAAATATCCGATTAATTTTGAATCTCGAGGGGCATTTGTCGGATTATTTTTCCCAGCCGGATTTTGGCCAAACAGAGTGCAGTGGACAACATCAGGAGATGAATTGGGGAAGATTTGAACAAATTATGTTAATAGAATAACCCGATTTCCATAGACTGTCAAATATAAGATTCTGTCTGAAATAAGCCGAAAAAATAAAGAGCTATTCCGAAATATTCAGCTAAAAAAAATGAAGAACTAGTGCGAAATATTCAAAAGTTAGGAGGAAATATCCAAAATAAAACTGTCGAGTAGCCTCAAATACTGCGCTCTGATTGGTCGAAATCCGTTTGGAAAGAATAATCAGTAAAAATTACGGAACTCACAATTCGCTCACCGACTAGGGAATCAACTCAGAAAATTTAAGTGACGGTATCGTAATTTTCCACAGGACATTCAGGTAAAAATTACGGAACGCTCTGGAAGAATTCCGTGATTTTAGGTAAAAATTACGTGACAGTTC